AAAAAACTTTTAGCATTATTGCCTTAGTTACATTTCTATTGCTATGACAAAACTCCATAACCAAGGCAACCTACAGAAGAAGGGTTTATTCTGAGCTTAGAGAAGGGAAGGTTCAGAGGGCTAGGAGTCAGTCACCATCCATGAAGGGAGCACGGGATTAAGTGGTAGGCTTGCTGGCTGCAGCAGGAGCTGAGGACTCACATCTCAAACCACGGACGGAATGCAGAGAGAGCAAGCTCAAAACGGTGCAAGGCCACCCCTGCTAACCACCCCAAACAGTGCCATCACCTGGAGACCACACATTCAAGTGCCTGAGAATATGAGGGGCATCTCATTCAGACAACCACATGAGTTACATGGTTTAGACACATGGAGAACCATTTAGATTTTAACAAGCCGACCAATACCTGAGAGTATATCAAAACAAACACATTCGTGCTGACTACCCTCGAGCACAGCAAAGCCCCTGAAGCCCCTGCACTATGAGACAGACTTACATGAAACAGGTAACAGGGCCATTGCACGTGAGCTGACAGACTTGGTGTCAACGAAGCAGCACGGCTGGCGTTGCTTCTGCCGGCTCTTGGGAACAGAGGAATGAAGTCAACCCTGTGCAGTTCTTTTCCTCTCACACACGGAAGAGCAGTGGCATGCCACTCTGGAGCTGGGTGGTTCCCTCTGCATTAGCATATTGAGTCTTGAATCTCCTAAAAGCTCTTCCTATTGAGGCTGTACTTCGGATCTACACTCCTGTAACTCCTGTCTGACATCATCTCAGCTTTATGAATAAGTAAATCTCGGCTCTAGGGAAGCACTGGACTAAGAGGAAGAATCAATAGCCACCCAGACCTGAGCGCTATGTGTGTCTGCAAGAACAATGCACCCTGTGGAGGAAGGCCAGACTTCTCCCTGCCAGCAGCCAGAGCACACGTACCTGCTGCAAGCAGTAGCTTTCCCTGCCCTCAAGCAGCGAATCTCTTCTTTTCTCTTTAAAAGTAGCTGAAGTCTCAAAAACGGAAGAAGATGGGAAAGAGAAAAAAGGATGGATGAGGACAGGGTGACATAACCTTGATTACTATGATCTGCCTTATGAGTATCTGAGGACTCACTATATGATTGTCCTGTGTGTGTGTTTCCTTCACCACAGGAGTGTTTAAAATATGTGCTTGCTTAGGAGAAACTGCAAGGAGACTATTAACCAGCTTGGCAATGTCTGAACCAAGAAACATTAAAAAAAAAAAAAATTTTCTCCTCAACCATCTGCAGCAAAAGGCATATTTTCTTATGATTTAGAACGTAATAAATATGGGGGAAGAGGGGCAAAAAAAAAGATTAATGAGACTGACTGCAAAGTACTCTGTCGACTGCTAGGCCGCTGATAGCTAATTTACTGATTTAGATTCCTGGCCAACCCTTTCTTGCTGCTTCTGGATGCTTTTCAAGATACAGGCAGGTTGCTATTAAAATGAACTGCTCTCAGAAGGAAAGCTAACAGTGTAGCTGAAATTAACCTCATGCTTCGGAGCCAAAGGCCAAACTTCAGAGAAAAGCTGGCAAGAGCCATCATTCCCTCGGCGCTGCCATGTCCTCACAAGCAAAGCAGTGGGAGCAGTTGTTGGAAGTTCTGTGGTGCCCTGCAGTAACCCTTGACTACAAAGCCACTTTAGAAGGTCTAGGCTCTTGCCTACAATTAGTATGAATTAAAAATGAATCCCATTATTTCTCCCTAGCTCCTCAAATATGAGGCTTATCACTGTGTTAACTGTGGCTTCTCATGAAATGACATCAGTCTTGCTTTGGATTGAGGGTCCAAACCTCCCTGGGAAGTACTGACTCTGTCTTCTCGGAGCTGGGGAACAGGAAACACACCTGAATAGGTGAAGCACACTTCCAAAGCATGGGCAGATTGAAACCTAAAAATGGGTTGGGGCAGTTTAAATGTTTACTCCCAAATTAAATGTCATGGAAGAGGCCACCATCATCAAAAGAGGTGCTAAAGATGCAGGGGGAACCTACTTCCCGGGTGGAAATGGTACCCGATTTCAAGTTCAGAAAGGATTCAGCCAATACATTAGCATTGTCATCAGCAAAAGAGCCAAAGAGATTTTGGATAGGTTTTGGTGGTACTTCCTTAAAACACAAAAAGCAAAAGGGGAAAACAAAGCTATGTTGTTGGGAAAAAAAGATGCTTATGTGAGGTCAGAAAAAAAGAACAGCTTGAGGTCAATATCTTTTTTACGAATGTTTTTTCTTTGTTAGTGTTGGAAATGCTTTCATCCAAAGAAGCTTGAATGTTCCTGACAGTTATTAGGTGTTGTAGGTACAAAGATAGGATCAGAACTGGGCCTTCACGCTCAGCATCTACAGGAAGGTCAGATACAGGTGAATAACCACAACAGATACAGCTAAGGAAGTGTATAGATCCTGTGGTACCTAGAGGATCAGGGAGAGCTTCTCAGAGGAGATGGAAATTGACGTGAGTCTTGACAGCTGCTCTAGAATTAGGAGAAATGAGAGGCCACAGCATCCTCAGAAGTGAGACAGTGTGCACAGAGAACAACACGCTTGTGTAAAGAGGCATGGTATCCTAGAATATCCCCAGATCCAGCCGTGGAGCTGTGCATGGTGGCGCACGTCTTTAATCCCTGCACTCGAGGCAGAGGCAGTTGGATCTCTTAGTTCGAGGCCAGCCTGGTCAACAAAGTGAGTTTCAGGACAGCCAGGGCTATAGAGAAACCCTGTCTTGAAAAGCCAAAAAGAAAGAAATCCAGCCCCATGGAGCAGGGAGCATGCTAGCAGGGTGCCCAGGACTAGGCCACAGGGCTCTAGAGCCAGCTGTCTAGCTCAGTTTTTCAGGTTACAAAGGCACAGAGGTCACCGTGTGGGCGTCATGAGCAGAGTCCTCGGTGGAAAGGAGCTACAGAGGTTGATTGCAGGTCCTAGCTACACATAAGTGCATAAGTGCATATGTGAAGGCCAGGAGCAAAGCAGCGACTGGAGCCAGCAGAGGAGACAGAAAGACACAGAGAATATTAACGACAGCAAATATGTGACCCACTAAGCATCGGTTCCTGAAACTTCTTCATTATTATCTTAAATCCAGAATCTGGTGTGGACTGAATACGGAGGAGGCCATGCCAGGGCAGAGATTCCTGCCTTGAGTAGTTGGGTCAACAGGGACGCCATTAATTGTAGTATTGATTCCAGGAGAAGCAATCAGCTGCAAGCAGAAGAGGGTGCCAAGTGGGGGAGGCCATTTTCACTGTGTACCTGGTCATTCGGGGGAGCTGCTTAGAATACACATGGATAGAGATTATCAGAGGACCGGGGACAGAGATTTGATACAACAGAGAGCAAACCGAAAATTCACATTAATTTAGAAGGAATATCAGATGACAAACAGAAAAGGATCTTCAACGTAGAGCTTAAGAGTCGGGCCATGGACACAAAGGGAGCGGGCAGTGCTCTGCAGACACTAGGGGCCTGTGAGTGCACTACAGACGCAGCTGATGCCTATTGCAAAGGGCACGCTTTCCCCATTAAATCCTAACGGTCCCCTGACTGGAGAATGTTCTGCACTTCAGGTCACCACTAAGTGCGTAAGGCAAGTTGCCCGAGCGGAAACAGAGTGCCTTAGAGAAGTATTTAATCCCGGAATCAGGATTCTTGTCAAATGTTGGAAGATCAGAGGGAGGCATTTGTGGAGCGCAGAAAATCAAAGCTCTCACGGCAGATTCTTTAGCCTCAGTCAGCTGAAAGGAAGCAACTGCTTCTACGATCTGTCGATCTGTCGTTACCCTGGGAATGACCCAGCTTCTCCTAACAGCAAAGGCTTAACTCAGAATTTCTCAACAAGCATCAAAAAAGATTTAATTGAGAGACAGTGGGTTGTTTTTACCAAGTTCATTCTGGGAGAGATTGGGAAAATCCAGACCAGATGGATCCTGGCCTGTGGAGCACAGAGGAAATGGATAATGGTGTGTAATGGGATCAGGTCAGGGAGGCCAGGACACTTGAGATTTTCGCATCTTTTAAATGGGGTGGAAATGACACTTCAATGTCCAGGACTCATTTTAAAAAGTGATAATCTTGTAGTAATCTAATTGCTAAAATCAGAGGAGGACTTTGTGCTGATGTGTCATTTGCTCACGGAGTCGACTCTGGATTTGCTTCTGTTCACAGGCTGGCCCAAGCGCAGCTCACTCAGGGATTTCGGATGGAGTGGCTTTCAGTCCTGACCACGGTCACAGTTCTGGTGATGGCAGTGAGGGGAGAGCTGCACCTTCAGGTCATCCTTCCACCAAGCTCAAGAGTCTGTCCAGCTAGTATTCCACCGAGGTCTCCAAAAGCAGAGTCAGGACTGAGCCTAGCACTGATGGATCATCATGGTGTAGGAACAGTCTTGGTCTTGGTTTCTCATCTTTGGATAGGAAGTGTTCCACGTGTTGGCAGCCTGGTGGGCAGCTGGTGGAGCTTTTGAGAGGCGATTGAATTATTGGTGCTGTATTCCATCAATGGATTAAGCAGTGACAGATTCACTGCAGAATGGGCCCTGTAGAAGGTGGGGCGCGGAGTACATGGACCACTAGGGATGGCCCTGGAGCGTGTATCTTGTCCTTACACACTTCCTCTCTGGCTCTCTGCTTCCTGACAGCTAGGAGGGAGCAGCCTGGCTCACCATGCCCTTCAGTTAGCCTCACTGTGGGCCTAAAAGTAATGAAGCTCCTGACTCAAGTGTGACCCAAAACAGACCTTTCTTCTGTTTCTCCTGGGATGTGTTAGAGCACACAGAATGGACTGGCAGTGGCAGTCTCTGTGGCGAAGCATTCGTGCTGTGATGCCGAAGGTGGGACTGGCTCACAGGTGGCTGAGCTGTGTATCTGCACATGCACAACGCAGGGTCTGCAAAGGCAGCACTGCCGGCGTAGTTATGCGAGGAGCAAGCCTGAGTGATCAGTGTTAGAGACAATTACGTAGATGAATATATACCCCAAACTCACCTCTTCCCAGCTCTGACGTTGTGTTCCACTATTGAAATCCGAGAAGGCTCAGTTTGTTCTAGAAAGAAATAAGAGGAAAATTTTTCAAAATTCTCTTATTGGACCAAAACTATAAAAACTAAAAATTAAAAAATTATCACCTTCTCTTTACTTATTAAGTATTATGCAGTAAAGAAAGAACTGATCAATAAACTTCTAACTATAGCATTTTAATACTACATAGAGAGGAGTCCTAAAAGGCAAAAGTTAAAATGTGCTCTGAAAATATCCACAGCCTGGGGCTAGAGATATGGATATGAGGTTACGAGTACTTGCTGCTCTTGCAGGAGACCTGAGTTCCGTTCTGAGCACTGACACTGTGTACCCCAACTCATAACTGTCTGCAGCTCCAGTTCCAGGTGATGAATAGAGGCCCTCTTATGACCTCCACGGGCAGCAGGCCTGCGTGTGGTACGTGTACATACATGCAGGCAAAACACCCATACACATAAAATGAAACAAACCAATCTAAATGTATGTAGTATGTAGTATTCTCTATATAAGATACTTGTACATATGTACTTATAACTATATATGTAAGCAAGTAGAAACGATGCCTCAAACACATGGTGTTTAATTATGTCTATGCCTTTTGATTCATTGCCTTGTTCCTCTGCTTCCTCACAGATTCCTATGGTACGCATGAGTTATCATTGTCATCACCATAGACCTGTGATGGGCAAAGTACCATAAATTCAAACAAAAACATCTATGTGCTGAGAGAGACACACACACAGAGGGACTCACACACAGAAAGAGATAGACAGAGAAAGAGAAAGAGAAGGAGGACTAGAAGATGGAGAGAGAGAGAAAGGATATGAAATGAAAGGGTAGACAACCATGTGCTAATTGCTAGCATGGATCTAGCTATGTTATTTTATTCCTTCAAATTGAAATATACCATATTTTAACACAGTGCCTTGTGCTTAAAAGGAAGATTTTATCACTTATGAAATTTCCTTCCTGCAAAGGGGACGTGTGATTAAAATTTGAGAAATTTATTCTCAGATCCAAAAATTCTGCTTTTGTAGGATGGTTCTTAAGTAGACTCCTTAAGTTCGTGGCATGGAGGTGAAATGCTTGGAGAGTGAGGAGAGACATAAGAGCTGGTGGAAATTGCTTAGAAGATGAACACTAAGGTAAAACAGTGCCTCTTATATGATTTTAACTTGTTTCTGCTTTGGTAAAGCTTAATAAGGAAAAGAAGGGATTATTCCTTAGAAAGAAATGATAAGGGAACCAGTGTTAGAGAGGGCCAAGAGAAAGAGTGGTGCTCACACGAGGGAGGAGATGGTCCTGCTGTGAGCTGCCCGAGTGAGACTCTGGAGATCAGAAAGGTCAGAGCTTGCCACTGTATCTTACTTCAAAGATCCCTAGCCATGTGCTCTAAAGAGCCCTCGGGATGCATGCGCTAAGAGAAAAGGGCAGTAGAAGGTGCATGGAAGCTGCCCAGCAGGAGAGGAGAGAAGGAAGCACTCACACCTGCTGCCTGTGCTTTCAGCAAGGCCCTGGGAACTCCTCTCAGCCGTCTGCCGGGGGAAACTCCCAACCCAGAACTACTCAGGGTCACAACTCAGTGATACTGTGGTTTCTGGAAGGTTTCCACACCAACCAGAAAAACCATCATCTTAAAAGGAGAGGGAATCTCCAGCACTGAAGATGGCGCCAGAAACAAGACCTTGGGAAAGCTGCCTGTGCAAAGTGGAGACAGCCCAGAGAGGCTGCCAGCTGACTGTGAGCAGACCCTCCCACCCAGCCTGCCTCTTCCCCACCCATCTCCCTCACTTACTCTGCCCAGTCCATTGCCTCCTCACAGGTCCTGTCACAGGGGGCTGAAAACACATCCCAGAAGATACACAACAACTTAATTCTGTATGTCCAGGTCTCATTCAAGAAAAGCACTGAACAGGTACACGCAATTTCATAAAACAAACATGACTATGTGTAAAGTCACAGATTAACCCAATATAGGAATTGTGAGAGAATTCAATACCCTACTGCCACTGATTAAAAAAAGAAAGAAACATTGGAGTTAAAGAAAGACATAGGTCAAATGGTCCTAACAAGATACACTTACAAGACATTCCACGCAAATGCTAAAGGATTCAGTTTTCTCAGCACATGCAACTTTCTTCAAAACAAGCCACATTTTAGGACACAAAGCAATCCTTAACAATTATAGGAAAATTGAAATAGCATTCTGTATTCCATCTTACCACAACAGAATGGAACAAGATATCAGCAGTAAGAAAAACTACAGAAAACACACAAACTGACGAGGACCAGACAATACACTATTGAATAAAGAATGAGTCACTGAAGAAATAAAGAAGGAAATAAAAAATTCTCTAGAATTTGAGTGAATACCGTATCTGTGGGACACAATGGAGGCAGTTCTAAGTACTGCACTACGTGCCTACCTCAAAAATTTTGAGAGGTCTAAATGAACAAGACTGAGGCACCTTCAGGCCTTGAAAAACCAAGAATCACCCAAGCCCAAAGCAGTAGATGGGAAGAAGTAATTAAGATCAGGATAGAAATTATTGAAATAGAGACAGATAGAAAGCAATACCAAGAATCAATGGAATGAAGAGTTGGTTCTTTAAGTAGATAAACAAGATTGACAGCCAAATTAACTAAAAGAGGCTATCCAAAAGCAATAAAATTAGAAATGAAAAGGGAGACACTACTAGAGATATCAATGAAATTCAGAAACCGTAGGCTTTTTATAAAAACCTGTATTACACTACATTGGAAATTTTAGAAAAAATTGAATTTTTAGATACATATGGTTTACCAAAATTAAACCAAGGTGAACTAATTTAAATAGTTCTATAGCCAACAATAAGACTGAAGCCGTGATAGGAAGATTCCTAACTAAAAAAAATAGCCCAGGAATATATGGAGACACAGTAGAATTCTACCAGAACTTCATGACTATTCAAATCATTCCCTGTGGAGGAATATCTCAGAATATGGCTACTCTGGCAAGAGATCACATCCAAAGACCTTCTAGGTCTGTGTGATCTGGCTGGAATACAGACACATCCTTGGTAGGCACTTTAATTCCAAACAATAAAAGATATAGTTGGAATACAAATATGCCCTTAGCACACACCTTTTCCCCCCTAAGATTTATTATTACTGTTGTTTACAATTTATTCATTTTGTATGTCAGTTGTAGCCCTCTCCCTCATCTCCTCCCGGTCCCACCCCCTTCCCTCTTCCTCCCCTATCACTCTTCCTTAGTCCACTACTAAGGGAAGTCCTCCTCCCCTACTGTCTGACCCTAGCATATCAGGTTCCATCAGGACTGTCTGCATCCTCTTCCTTTGTGGGCTGGCTAGGTTACCCCACCAGGGAGAACCTGATCAAGGAGCAGGCAACTGAGTTCATGTCAGAGACTGTATCTTCTCCGCTTACTAGGTAACCCACATGGAGACTGAGCAACCTATGGGCTACATCTGAGCAGGGGATCTAGGTCCTCTTTATGCATGGTTTTTGGTTGACGCATCAGTCTCTGCAGTGCCCCCTGAGCCCTGCTTTTTTTTTTTTTTTTGGCTTTGTTGGTCTCCTTGTGTGGCTCCTATCCCCTCTAGGTCCTTTTATATCCCCCTTTTTCCACAAGACTCCCTGCTCTGTCCAAAGTTTGGCTCTGAGTTTCTGCATCTTTTTTGATCCCCTGCTGAGTGGAGTCTTTTAGAGGACATCTGTGGTAGGCTCTCTTTAGTCTCAAACAATGAAAGTAAGGTTACTCTGTAGAAGGAAGCAGCCATGTTTGAAAGTGACCTCTAATTAAGGGACAGACAAAGTGATGAGTCAGAGAAAGATTTGACAAAATGAGTCAGAAATAGAGATGCCCAATTCTCAGGAGAACAGCACAGGAAACAGAGGTTACTTAAGAACAGTGCAGGGAGAAGGGGAAGTAGGAGAAGAGGAATAGTGTGTCTGTGCCATTTTTTACCAGGACAGTTTTACAGACACAAGTTGCAGGGAGAACAAGCCAAAGAATGAGAAGGTGCCTGAAGATTAGAATATATTGCCAGAGTTAGTTTGAGGCCAAGCAGGACAATTTAGTCAGAAGCAAAGAGAGAAGCCAGATTGAATCAGTCAGCTTGAAGAGGAGTTTAGGCAAGAACAGCCGAGTTGAACCAGCTATCAAGAGTTTAGAAAGAGCTAGAAAGGGCGAGTTTATTCAACAAGGAAGTCTTAGAGTCTGAAACATTCTAGACCTAGCACACAGACTAGGCTGTAAGCTGAATCCTTCAAGGTTCAGGTTTGCAAAAGATTAGACTGCATGGAGGGTAGAAGCTTCCAGGCCTAAGCAAACGGATATTTAGAACAGACAAAGAAATGCTCTGGGCTTCGCCCAAGCTCTGTATTTGCACAGTTTGGGGATGGCTCTCATCTCATACCCCTTTCTTAGGAAATAAAAATGACATTTACAATTCCCCAGAACATGAAAGTAAAGAATGCTTTCAAACTCTTTTTAGAAAGATACTAAACATCAGACAAAGACAACAAAAAAGAAAATTCCAGACAGATCTCCCTGGTGGACATAGATGTAAAAATTTCCAATAAAACACTGGCAAACACCAAAAAGATCATTCATCATGATCAAACAGGCTTTATTACAGGAATGCAGTGAGGGTTTAACAAACATATACCAGTAAGTGTAAACCATTACTTACGCGGACTCAGAAATAGAAATCACACAATCATTTCATTAGCTGCAGAAGAAGCTTCAACAAAATCTGACATCCCTTCATGATAAAAGTCACAGTGAAACTAGGAATGGAGAAAGCCTGCTGCAACATAAAAAGGCTATCTGTCAAAAATCTATATCCAATATCATGCTAACTGGAGAAAACCCTAAGACTAGTAACAAGTCAGCACTGTCTACTTGTTTCACTTCTATTCAATAGACTTTTTGAAGTTTTACCTACAGCAATAAGACAAGAGAAGGAAATAATGGCAAGTAAACAGGAAGAGAAGTCAATGTATTCTTGTTTGTAGATG